ATAAGTTGTAGAGAATTTAATTCTGAACAAGCTTTAAATGGGACGAAATCTTGTAAACTCTGTTTTTTTTTTTAAAGATAATTCCCCAAGTCAAAAATTTAGTAACCATGTTGGCAACACAAGCCTTTTCTACATAAAAAATTTGAAAGCATTGACAATTTTACATTGTATTGCCAACATAATGTCAGTTTGACTTTTATCTTTAAAAAAAAAACAGATTTTAGGTATTACGATCTTTGAGATATGAGCGTTGAAAGATAAACTTTGTTGCGACTTTTTGTGTGGAGAGTATACAAAATACTGGTGCTACTGGTATTTATCAGTCAAAATATTGACAGGTTCACATATTTTACGTGACTTACAAATTAATGTCAACATAGGTTAAGGCCGAGACCGCACTGGGATCAATGTTGGTGCCAGTGCGTTCCTGGCCTTAGCCTATGTTGACATTTGTTAGTGACATGAAATATGTCGACATGACAATATTTTGACTGATAAACACCAGTTTTTCGTATACTCTCCACACAAAAAGTAGCAAAAAAGTTAATCTTTCAACGTTCATATCTCAAAGACCGTAATACCTACAAGATTGCGTCCCATTTAAAGGTTGTTAAGAATTAAATCCTCTGCAACATATTAAAAAATGGACAAAATCCATAGAGCCCAAAAATCCCATGTTAAGTGTGCGTTATCCTTTGGATATGATGTGCTTGAATGCTTAGTCTAAAACATTGAATATCTAGTTTTGAGTTAAGTTTGAAGGTTTTCGTGAATAGATTTTTTTTAAAATTGCATGTACAAAAGTGGGTAACTTGCAACATGCCTCGCAAATACAAAAAACAGTTAGGGAGTAGGACCTACCGTAATTATTCCAATGAAACTTTGGAAAATGCATTAAGGGCCATCGAAAACGGATCAGGGATTCGGGAAGCATCGCGAGAATTCGGGATTGACCCATCAACACTTTCTCGGAAAAGAAGAAACTTGTTTCCCCTTTATCAGGGTAGGCAGCCTGTATTTCCAAAGGAAGAGGAGGAAAAATTGACTAAAACTGGCCAAAATTAGCCAATTTTTTTTTTTTTTTTTAAATATTTTGGGTTGCAAGTAAGTTAACACGCGTTTCTAAATACAATTACTACTGAAAAAAGCCACTTGTTGCAAGTATCCCCTTGCAGGTGTTCAACTTGCAACACCCAGTTTTTTTTAAAAGTATATATCAAATAATAATGTTTTTCAAAGTTTTTTGTTAGAATCGGATACTAGACCACAAGACTAAAATTTTGGCACCAATTATGTCAAATTAGACAAAAAAATAAAGAAGATATCGGCAAAAGAATTTTGAAAATGTTGCAACTAACCCCACCTTACGGTAGTAGTTATTATATATAAATCACTAGTTGAATCATTGCTTACCTATGGGATTGTGGTCTGGGGGGGTTATACAAAACTAATCTTGAAAAACTAAATGTCATGCAAAAATATATCTTAAAAATAGTACCTTTATAGAAAAAAATAAGAGATATCCGACACATCTTATATTTACATTGGAGACCTGTAACATACGTACACTATACATGACTGCAGTAAGTAGCTATATACAAAAAAATGACTATCTGAAAGACCATATAAATCATGAACACATGAACACAGTACACGAAACAACCTTAACCACCACATAAATATACCTCGTAGTTTCAATAATATATAGCAATCTGACTTTTTTTTCCTATATCGGGCCTAAAGTTTATAATCAGTTGCCAAATAGCATAAGAGGTATTCAGAAGGGAAAGAAATTCACTGAGAAATGTAAAGAGCGAGGGGTGAATAGCTGACCCAAAATGTGTACACCTGCCAAATTCCACAATCTCTAAGGAAATTTGCTAAGATTGTGAGCGATTGTGTACGATTGTGAGTGATTGTGAATGATTGTATAAGGATTGTGACTGATTGTGAGCGATTGTGACTGATTGTGAGCGATTGTGACTGATTGTGTCACGATTGTGACTGATTGTGTTACGATTGTGACTAATTGTGACTGATTGTGTAAGAATTGTGAATGATTGTGTTAAGACAATAGGTGTTTTTTCACGTGTCAAATGTTTTAAAACGTTTCTACAACTGGTTAAATTTTAAAACAATGTCACATGACGTCATAACTTCTCGGCGCGAGAAAATGGTTTTAAAATGTGGATTGTACGTATTGTATTTCGAAACGGTTTGACCAATTTTGATGTGACGTCATGGGTTCATCGCGAGAATATACTGTTTCAAACCTGTTTTGATACAGTTTCAAAAAAGTGAACGCGAGAAAACAGCTATAATTGAGTTAGAATAAAATAACAAAATATCAAAACTAAATTAATATCTAAATAAAAAGAATATTCAGTTTTTTTATCTTTCTTAATACACAGTACTCTGATTGAGCAGTTGTACAGGGTGGCGCAGAGGCAAAGCATGTTCATGTAGTTAAAAAAAATTATTTTCAAGATAATTTTGTTTCAATTAGGTACTCGATTAGGAACAGCTAAATCGAGAGCTAAATGCTTTGGGGTCACACATCTCCAACCCCTCTTGAAAGTTGTTCATCACACTTGAAACATGCGTTTCCTCTGAGCCACCTATAAAATCTAAATTTTTCAATTACAGGGTGTCAAAAATGCTAGGTTATATAGAGGAACCATAGAAAAGTAATTTGAGACAGGACACCAATGGTCGAAAGTGCGTTGTTTCCAAAATACAGGGTGTTGAAATTTAAACAACCCCATTTCATATCATCTGGAGGGCTAATGCTAGGATGTATTGATATAGGAAGGATATTTAAAAATTCTTTTAATGCACCCCCATTTTCTACCTGGAATCACTAAAAAAAAAAAAATTGAAACAAAATGTTTTTTTTCTACTACCGTGCCTAAAGTACTTACTTTACACACTGTTCAGGAGACTTAAAATGTCACTTCACGCACTAGTGCGTAAAGTAATTCACTTCACACACTAGTGCGTAAAGTAATGTCAATGACAGATGTCGACAACTGTCAATTTGGTATTTTTCTGGTAAATTACTTCACGCACTAGTGTGTAAAGTTAAAATACTTCACGCACTAGCGCGTAAACTATTTGTCTAAGTTTATTTTTTTACTAATATTTTATGGCTACTAAAAAAAATTTTATATGCAATACGTGTGTAAACATAGATAAATTTTTTTTTGGGGTTGTTCCAGGTAGAAAATGAAGGTGCACTATACGAATTTTTGAATATTATTTCTACTTCAATAATCCCTGAAAATTTGAACAGCCTAGCATTAGCCCTTCAGATTATGAAAGCAGGTTGTTTGAATTTCAACACCATGTATTTTCAAAACGACGCAATTTCGACCATCGATGTCCTATCTCAAACTACTTCTCTGTGGTTTCTCTATAAATCCTAGCATTTTTGATGAGTTGAACAGAGACACCCTGTAGGTACTGCATGTTTGAATTTAAAAAAATCATCACAGACAGACGTGACAGACAATAACAATAACACAGGAAAATGATGACAAATTATTGAAGAATTTGTTGTGAGATAGATACTTTTTTCAAATTAGGCTTTTATTTGCTAAAAAATATTGTCATCAGAAATGTGTGCTGTAGGTGGCATACAAGAGTCAGCTCATCAAACAGGCTTATTGGCTTATTGCTATGGGAGAAAATGAAGTAAATTAAACTATTTGGAGGGACCTCACATGTTACAGATGGTGGTAGATTGTGGAGCGATTGTGAGAGATTGTGTAACGATTGTGAGATATTGTGCAACGATTGTGGGAGATTGTGACACGAATGTGAGAGATTTTGTGTGATTGTGTAACGATTGTGACAGATTGTGTGAGATTGTGTAACGATTCTGACAAATTGTGAACGATTGTGAATGATTGTGTGAAGATTGTGAGAAATATGTACACCGACTGCAAGAGCTATTCACCCCTCGGTGTTTAAATGGAATGACACTTTTTGGCTTAAAAATATTTATGGCATGGAAATTGATAGTATTTCGCAAAACGAAATAACGTTATAATTACTAGATTTTGGCAACGTCACTGATTCTGAAAAAAATCAACCTACTTGTACTTTTGAAGGAGTATCGAGATAGAATATCATTTATTCTTAAAGAATTATGTAAAATCGAATTAGTTGAGTTGACAATTACATGCAAGTCTAGCGAACCTACTGCCTCTGGTTACTACCAAATACCAGTGAGGAGTATAGAGTATATTTTTTCTAATATTTAATATATAAATAATTAATTAATTAAGTTAATAACTTTATTGTTGTAATTTTATTAATATTGGTTCTAAATAAATGAAATGAAATATTTTTTTGACACATAGGTAACAGGTAAACTACTAAAGTAAACTGTGACATATTTTCTGGTGGCGTTCATTCCGCACCTGTAGTTGTGTTTCACTCCAGCGTCCCCAAGCGGTTGCGATCCGAACCTTTTTTTTAGGCCCGGCCCTCCATTAAGCTTTTTTTTCTATCCGTGAGGATATCTGTTCTGTGGTGTAGAATTTAGGTGATAGGTAGGTAATTGAAGGCAGGTAGCAAAATCGTGTGATATACCTTAGTTACCGCACGCTTGTAGATAAATAAATTACCTATAGAAACATAGTAGGTACTATTTTGTGCTCCATTGTGTTATGTAGATAAATTAATTCAAATCATGAAAGTACTAAGTGGCTACATAATATGGGAGAGTGGCAGAAAAGCTTTAGGTAACATGCCGCATGCGCTACTTTTATGCTAACCTGTATAGTGTTTTCCACAAAATGGAAGTCTTAAAGTTACTATTGAAAACCATGACCATAGTTAGTTACCTACTTTTTATTTTTTCAAAATACTGTACCTATTTGCTATTTTAATATTTATACATATTTCCAAACTTTATGCCACATTTAGATATGGTATATTTAGCACTTAAAAAAAACTGTAAAAAAAATAACTGACGATTGATTTTTTTTTTGCAGGTAGCAATCTCTAAAGAAATAAAAACATGGAAAGTCGACGTGGTACTTCACGATGGTGCTCCCAATGTAGGTAAAAATTGGTTACACGATGCCTATTCACAAGCCTGCCTGACCCTTAGCGCTTTAAAATTGGCCACACAATTTTTAAGAAAAGGTGGCTGGTTCGTAACCAAAGTGTTCAGATCCAAAGATTACAATCCTCTTGTTTGGGTCCTGAAGCAATTGTTCAAAAAAGTTCACGCTACAAAACCGCAAGCTTCACGTAATGAATCTGCAGAAATTTTTGTCGTTTGCCAACATTATATTTGCCCGGACAAAATCGATACTAAATTTATGGATCCAAAATATGTATTCTCTGAATTAGAAGTAGAGCCGAAAAATAAACTCAATATATTTCATCCTGAGAAAAAGAAAAAAGATAAAGCCGAAGGATATCCTGAAAATGATTATACTCTTCACCATCAAGTGAAAGCTTCGACTTTTATTCAGCATGAAAATGGTATTGATATTTTACAACATGCTTCAGAAATTATTTTCGATGATCCTGAATTACTTAAACATGAAAGAACAACCAAGGAAATACAGGAGTGTTTCAAAGATATTAAAGTTTTGGGCAGAAAGGACCTCAGGAGTATTATGAATTGGTGGAAGATTTTACACGAAGAATGGGAGAAGAAAGTAAAAGTAGAAGTTGAGGAGAAGCTAGATGTTACCGAGGAAAAACCTGATATAAAAGGTACTTAATATTGTTTTTTAATGTGCTTATGTTTTTTTTAATATGCCTATTTCTTTTTTCAGAAAGTGACGATGAGGATGGTTTGAAACATGTAGATCAGCAGATATTGGATCTAGAAACGGAAGAACACAGAGATTTGAAAAGAAAGAAGAAAAAGGCACAAAAAGAAAGGAGAAAGTTGAATGATAAACTTAATTTGAAAATGGTTTTGAAAGGTACATTTTTTGTTGGGTGTTTTTTTTTTGGGGTTATTGAATTTTTTGGGGTTATTGAATTTTTTGTTTCTTCTAGGTGATGATGGTCCTACGCATGAAGAAGATAATATGTTCTCATTGAAACAAGTTAAAGATACTGACAAAATGAATAGGGTTGTGGAACAAACACCTGACTTTTTAGCTGAATCAGACGATGATGATGATAAACCAAAGGCAAAATATTTGAGGTATGTATTTTATTTCTGAAAATGAGTACATGCTAAAATATGGTAGAGGTACTTTATACAAAATCTCTAGAAAAAGAATGAAAATCTTTATTTTATTGACTTTTTTGATATCCTTAACCCTTGATTTTGGGGAAGTATTCTAGAGCACTTTGTTAAGTCCCTGTTAAAATATAGTAATGGTACATCATATTCTAGAATAGAAGACTTTATCGAGTCCAAATTTAAATGCTTTAACTTTTCAGGTATGACAAAGATGAACAACATTTAGATAGTTCAGGTCTGTATTACAAAGATTCTGATTCTGAATTGGAAATAGAGAGTGATGATGATTCTGATAATGATGCAAAAGAGACTCTTGGTTTTGATTCTGACGACTCAGATGCTGGAGAGCCAACTAAAAAATCCAAACAGACAAAGAAAAAAATCAAAACAAAAGGGGAAGAGAAAGATCATCCATTAATAACCGACCTAGACTATAGGGACAAAGATCAGAAAAAAACTCATAAAGCTGAACTGTGGTTCCAGAGAGACGTTTTCAAGAATTTAATCGATGAACAAGATGAGGATGCTGACTTAGATAAAATGGTTGAGGAGTTCAAAAAGAAAGGCGCCAAAGTGATAGGTATGATATTAATTATTTAGGTAAGTGGAATATACATTTTTAATATTATATTTGTAGGTGAAACTGATGACACAAAATTAAATAAAAAGGAATCGAAGAAAGACTTGAAGAAAATGAAGGCCAAAGTAGAAAAAGAAGTAACATCAGATAGTGACTATAGTTCAGAGGGTAGTGACAATAGTGATGATGATGACAGTAGTGATTCTGATTATGACATTGAAAGGTCAACACATGTTAAAGTTAATAACTCAAAGAAAGATGGATTTGAGGTTGTAAAAAAGGTCACAGGTGAGATATATTTATTTTTACGAAATGCATGACTTCTCCAAACATCAAAAAATCTACAATTTTTCAAAATAGATGTATTCACTTATAAAGACATACCTGTGTCAAAGCATTTTTAGAATAGATGTAGCAAACAGTCACGTGGCATGATCCAAGAACTCGAGAATTATAAAATTATTGTTTATTTAGTTGTAATTTGTAACTCAGAAAAAAATAAAATAAATAACCAATCACCCCTCTAAAGAATACCTTGTTAAAAGACAACCAATTTCTATAAAACCTTGATGACATTTTGCCTTATTGTTGAAAAACTACAATAATAAATTAAAACTGGATTGACTTTTAGAAGTTGGAAGGGGTAAGAAAGGCAAGAAACACAAACTTACAGAAGAAGAAATGGCCTTAGGGACAATTATGATCAACAGTAAAAAAGCTAAGAGGGATTTAATTGACGCTGCTTGGAACAGATATGCTTTCAACGATGAAAACTTACCGGATTGGTTTGTGCAGGATGAACAAAAACATATGGTAAAAGAAGCTCCTGTACCAAAGGTAAAAACTGAATTTTATATAACATACTTCGGCCCTTTTTTTATTTTTGTTGATTTTAATAGCATTATTGCATTTGTTAGAGGCTATGTGCATTATTACACAATATTTATTATACAATCTCACAAGCGCCATTTCAAAACCTGGCCTTCAAGGCTGTGTTCATATTTATCATTTTGCTTCCTAATTATCTTCCAGGAATTGGTTGGCGATTATAAGAAGAAATTGGAAGAAATTAACGTCAGACCAATCAAGAAAATTGTTGAAGCCAAGGCCAGAAAGAAGCGCAGGGCAATGAGAAAACTAGAAAAAGCAAAGAAAAAGGCAGAATCTTTACTCGATAATGCAGAAATTACTGAAAAAGAGAAGGCGCAACAAATTAAACAGTAAGCTGAAGTTTAGTCAATGGAAAAATGTATAAAATAATAATTAAAATTTCAGGTTATACAAAAAGGCGACAAAGGAACCTAAAAGAGAAGTCACATATGTAGTTACTAAGAAACATATGGCTGCTAAAAGGATGCGAAGGCCAATGGGGGTAAACGGACAATATAGGGTAGTTGATCCAAGGATGAAAAAGGATATGAGAGCACAGAAAAATAAATTAAAAACCATGGGTAGAGGAAAGAAAGGTGGCAAAGGAGGTAAGCCTCGGAGACCATTGAATAAGAAGAAAGCTAAGGCGGAATAAGCAACTAGAATTCAAATAATTGTTATGATTTATAATGTTATAGATAGATAATGTGAGTTCTTGTTTCTTGTTGAGGTAATGTAATAAAAATATGTTTTAATAACGCTATGTATTTCAATTAAAATGTAAATGTACAAAAAATCCAGCATTGATTAGTGAATTCATGTCAGAGTAACAAAGCAGTTAAAACAGCATTTGTTTTACAAACCTGTTTAACACTTGTAGACATCAGAGCCGTTTTCTCGCATCCACTTTTTTGACATTGGTTCAAAACCGGTTTGAAACAGTCAATGCTCCATTGCCCAATTCAAACATGTTTTGAACCAATGTCAAAAAATGGACGCGAGAAACGGCTCAGGATTCCCTACAGAATTTTTTATCGGGACTAGGGTGCCAGTTACTTCCATATTTATACTTCAGAACCGAACCATTCACTCGTTGTGTTGTTTAGTTACTAGGTGATTAATGTAAGTCATTAGTCATTCATTATGGGATTATTCTTATAATATTAATAATATCCTGTGTTGCCAATCAAATGATGTATTATCACAAAGCGACGTCACAAAAAGTATAGTATACAGGGTGTCCTGGATATGGATGCACTCTACAGGTATCTCGTTAATCATAAGAGATACAGAGTTGGTTAAATTTACAAAAAGTTGCGCATTACTAAGCTCAGTGGCGTCATGTTTTGATATTTCGTAAATTCGGAATGATTCCAAAGATATCCATAAAAAAATAGTTATTTGTTTTACTAGGCAGAAAAGTACAAGATTTAATGCCGCGGCTGGTGTTTCATAGCCGACGCTAGGAAACCAGCCGAGGCATTAAATCTGTTTTTCTGCCATGTGAAACATATAATTTTTTCCCCGAATGTTCAAATTCACACATGGACATCTTTTTTATATTTATTTCATTCATTATTATTATCCAAATAATTAAATTATTTTGACAATTGTCATTGTCACCATCAATTTCAAATACCAAATTGAGTGAAATCATTACCTGGAACGTTGTGACACTGTCACTTTTAATGTCTAGGCAGTAAAAGTCGACTTTTACTACCTAGGCAGTAAAAATACAACTTTTGATCCTGTCAAGTGTCATTAAAAGGCCGCTTTTACTGTCATTCGGAGAAAAACGAATTTTGCCGAAGTCGTTTTTATTTTTTTCTGACTATTTGAAATGATATCGCAAAATAAACTTCGCATTCTCATTGCCACTTTTTCTCTACTGCATGATAATGCTATTAGAGTTTTGATCAGGCGTTTCATTTCTTCGCGATCATCATCAACTTTGTTTTTTCAAATGGTCGAAATTTTTTATTTTATACCTTAATTAACTCTACTTTTCATTCTAAATCCAACGACATATCAAGCTCATAATTCCAGGAATATTAATAGGGTACTTGCATCAATTTTTTTTATTGCTGATTTCGTTTGTCCATGAAAAATAAGTCAACACGTGTTTTTTCTTTTTCTTCTTAGTCAAAAAATGACGGAGATACAACGCTATGAAATATGCCTATGACGTCACTTATCACATATATTAGTGACGTTGCACATGCTCAGTATATCTATATATACAAAACTTAATATTTGTATAACTTCCGGAATAATCATATTTGGGCGAAATAAAAAAAAAGTAACGATTTTTTTCCGATTTCCTACAGTTTGCAATAAACAATAATCAATTTAATTTTCCATGCAAGTACCCTATTGCCACTAGTGGTCCCATTAACGGGCCTCCGCGATCTCCATACATTACACCGATGGATCTTGTCTTTTGGGGATTCCTTAAGATTGAAGTTAACTGACTTTTCCAAATCCATCGGTGTAATGTCTGGAGATCACGGAGGCCCGTAATGGGAATGCTAGTGGCAATTAATATTCCTGGAATCATGAGCTTGATATGTCGTTGGTTTTAGAATAAAAAGTACAGTTTATTAGGCATGAAATAAAAAAAAGTGACCATTTGAAAAAACAAAGTTGATGATGATCGCGAAGAAACGAAACGTCTGATCAAACATCTAATAACATCATCATGTAGTGGAGAAAAAGTAGCAATGAGAATGTGGAGTTTATTTTGCAATATCATTTCGAATAAAGTCAGAAAAAAATAAAAACAAGATCGGCAAAATTCAGTATTTACATTGTTTCAAATTTTTGGTTTTATTTTAATTGGCATATTATAGGCCTGGCGCCCAATAGAAAACAACATCAAATAAAAATAACTCACGCCCATTGCCTATTGCCTCCTGAACTTTTGTCTGAGCAGCTGTAGGGCAACCCAAAGAAGTGATAAACTTGCATCATTTCAAGTTTAACCCAAGAGCCCTAGCGAGTGGGTTAATTTTCTCCCAATGAATAAACATTTTAACTCACGTAATGTATATGTCGAAGGCTTAATTATAAAATCAGTCTTATTATCTATAATACGCCTAGGCTTTTTCAATACGACTAGTCATATTGTAATACTACCCAAATACTTAAGAATTTCACAATTAGACTATGTAGTGATTCCAGTAGCATTACAATACGCCTACTGCGTGTTAGTCTTTCTTAAAATGAACCTGCGTTAGAATCCGACTAGATCAGCGAATTGTATTGAATAAAACTTTCAATGTGCCTTTTGTCCGATATATTGTGCTGAACGCTAACTTTCCTATTCTTTATGCTAAAGAGACATTTAAATTACTAAACTTTAAGTATTTTTTCAACATTTTCGTTTCTGTAGCATAAATAATAGGAAAGCTAGCCTTCAGCGCAACATATGTATCTGTGAACACCCAGTACTTTAACATAAATTTTAAAAAGTTTAAACTATGTAAGATACAAATTATAGATTTGGATTATTTATTACAGCATGATCCGCTTTTATGACATTTCATATGAACTTTAAAACATAAAAATTTATTGTAATCACACTGTGCTTTGCTTGGCTCGCAAGAAAACTTTTAAAATCCCCTGTCATTCGAATTTTGAAAACTTACTTAGAACTTCTCCTAAGGAAATTGTTTTTCCTTGTGTAATATTAATTATTTCATTACTTTGGCAGTCAGTGATTTCATCCCTTGAAAACCATCGATTTAACGTGCAGGTTCATTTTTAACAATAAGAATAAGACTAGCGAGTGGAGACGTATTATAATAAGCCTGAAATTATCAGTCAAAGTGTGTGATTCCTAATTATTTGGGTAGTATTGAGTAGTCATACTAGGCCGGTTCTGGAGCGGAAGTGACCTGTCATTCGTCGTGGGGCCCGTGCCCGTCATCAGAGAAGTCCCAAATTGAAGGGGCCTCCACCAGGTGGGCCTGTGCCCCATTCCAGGGCCCCATTTTTGTCGTGGGCCCCATTTTTCGTCAAGTGGAGGGGCCTAACCCAAGTGACGTCATCAAAGGGGCAACATGCTTGTCCCCGTTGCTAGACCCGTGGCCCCATTTTTTCGTGGGCCCCATTTTTTAGCAAGCCCCAATTTAAAGAGGCCTAACCTAAGTAGCAAGCCCCCAATTTGAATAGACCTAACCCAATAAGTGACGTCATCAAAGGGGCCATACGTGCTTGTCCCCGCTGCTAGACCCGTGGCCCCATTTTTTTTTTCGGGGACCCCATTTACATGAATTCATAACCTGAAATGAGATACCCCATACGAGATGACAGGTACGTGCGACGTTGTCGAAACTAATAATGTGCGACGTTACCAATAAAATTTCCCTAAATCTAGGGAAAAATCGGAAAGGGGCCACTTGTCTCCGCAGCTAGACCCGCGGCCCCATTATCCATTATCGTATATGGAACCAATACAGGCCCCCAAATTTTGAGGCGCACGTAGCCTAGAACTCATAACCTGAAATTTGATGTCCCATATCTCGTGCTGGTAATTTGAAATTTGTACAACGTACCTAGAACTCATAACCTGAAATTTGATACCGCGTATCTAGTACCTGGTACCTCGTACCTGGTACCTCGTACCTGGTACCCCGTTACTTGAACAAGATACACCGTACTGGGCCCCCTTTTTTCGTCGTCGTCGTCGGCCCCATTTTTCTAAACTAAAATATGGTCACATAAAAGACAACATCATCATCATCATTGAAAAAATAGTGCTCCAATTTGGGCCCCATTTTTCACGGACTTGTAACGATTTAATTGGGGGGCCCCAAATATTATTTTTAAAATAATTATAATTTCTACCGTTCTCATAAACAAACAACAAGAAGAACAGCAACTTGTGTGCGAACTTGCTTATCACACGGAAGCCGCATTTCCTGCGACGATAACGAAACGCAGCTGGCTGGCCTGGTAGTTGTTATTCATTTTCAAATTTTAGTTAGATTTTAACGTCCCTAGGTGACACAAAGTTTTTCTTCAGTGCTCATCCAGATTGAATTTTTCCAGTGGCGGCCAGTGGCAACCTAGTGTGGATGTGCGCTCTTGAAAATTTTTTTGGAGGTGCCACGTCCTGTTTTACATTTATTTTGTATGTTGATTTTTTTTCTTTTTACTTTAGGAAAAATTATCGAAAACAAAAATGTATGTATTTAAATGAGGCTTGAATGTTTGTATTCTAGCCATAATACATAATTGATATTGAAATTTATAATTAAAAAAAAAACCGCGAACAACAGAGTTGTCAAACCGCCAAAATGGTGAAAAAACATCGAAATATTCTCGATTGAGTGGAAACAACATTGGAAGTGTGTATTCAAATAGCGCACGGCGCATCCCTTTCATCGGGCGACTTACCGTATATTCCCGATCAATCGCACAGCGAGAAAACACATCAACCCAGAGCGCCGAACGATTCCACACCGACCACCCGGACCACCAGCACAACCAAGCGGGAGAAAAAAATATACAAGACAGGCGCAAGGCGCGCTTTCGTTCCGTTCGTGCGAATTTAAAAATAGAAAAATGAGTAGATATTTATCCTAATTTAGAAAATTGGGTAGGTATTTTTTAATTGAAGTTTCTTTTCTTTCCAAAATTTTAATTTTATTTTCTTGCTTGGTTTTTGGAGGCAGTGCGCGCGCACGAGCGCACTTATTGAGAAGCCGCCCCTGAATTTTTCAACGAAAACTTAATTCAAAATTGGGCGTTACCTCAGTTATAATTGATTGTGTGTATTTAGTGCTAAAAACTATGTAAGTAATTTTTTTCAT